GCGAGTACAAACACAGTAGATTCACCCTTTCCTTATATGTCAGTCCTACCATCCCGGGAATCAGTCTGATGAACCTTCACTGGACTCCCTCAATAGCAAAAATGTCTTTCCTCGGACTCGGAGACTAGAACTGCACAATGATACACAAGGTGTATAACTGCAGTGAGACATTCCCACCTCTATACTCAAATCTTCTCGCTATGAAGGCCAGCATGGCATTAGCTTACCTCACCACCTACATGCCAACCTTCAGCAACTGTTTCACCATGACACCCAGGTCTTGTTGCACCTTACTTTTTTTCTAATTCCTGCTGTTTAATGACACTCTGGATCATTAGGGGAGGTTATGGCCTAGTGGTATTATCACTGGATTGTTAATCAGAGACCCAGTTAATGTTCTGGGGACCAGGGTTCGAATCCCCGCCATGACAGCTGGTGAAGTTTGAATTCAATAAATATCTGGAATTAAGAGTCTAATGATGACCATGAATCTGTTGTCGATTGTTGGAAAAACCCATCTGGTTCACTAATGTCCTTTAAGGAAGGAAACTATCATCCTTACCTGGTCTGGCCTCCATGTGACTCCAGACCCACAACAATGTGGTTGACTCTTAACTGCCCTCTAGGCAATTAGGGATGGACAATAAATGCTGCCTGGCCAGCAATGCCCTCATCTCATGAATGAATAAAGAAGGAAAAAAAAAAAATCTGCTCAGACCCCAACTGAATACATGTGTGGTTACACCAGAGACGACATGGAATTGCAAGACTGGAGGAGGCCATTCCCGTGCCAGCTCTCTTTGGGAGAGCTCTGAGGTTCACCTCAACCTCACCACTTCGCTGCTCTCGTGCTCTCATGTTCTCTCTCCCTCCCCTACAAGTTCTCCTTTGGAAGCGAGCATCCAGCTCCCTCTTTACGAACCAGCGGCCAATCAGCCCAATTACGCTATGTACTGGGTGAACCCTTTGAACCAATGAGGAGGTCAAGGTAGCAAACCTTATAGAGAAGGCATGGCTGTAGGAATGCAAAAAAACAGAAATTGCTGGAAAAATCTCAGTAGGTCTGGGGAACATCTGCGGAGAGAAATCACAGTTAACATTTTGAGTGGGTGACCCTTCCTCAGAACTAATGGGAGCTAGGAAAAAGTTTTTTTATGCAGAAGATCGGGTGGGGGGAAGTGGGCAAAGAGTAAACAATAGAGCCCAAAGCGAGAGAGAAAAACAGTTGGACAGATAACGATCAGCCTGAGAGAATGAATGGCTACTAATGGGGACTGTTAGTGGCTTACAATGGGTTGTGTGTATTAGCAGACTCTGACAACAAGGCCTGGTGTGTTTGGGGTTGGAGTAAGGACATGGGAGAAGATGCCTCCAGCCCTAAAATTGTTGGACTCGAAATTGAGTCCAGAAGGCTGTAGAGTTCCCAAGTGCAAAGTGAGGTGCTGTTATTCCAGCTTCGCTGGAGCACTGTAGCAAGCCTGAGACAGAGATATTGGCCAGGCAGCAAGGTGGTGTGTTGAAGTGGCAGGCAACTGGAAGCTCAGGGTCTCTGCAGATAGAATGTAGATGTTCTGCTACGCGGTCACCCAGTCTACGCTTTGTTTCCCCAATGTAGAGGAGACCACATTGTGAGCAGCAAATGCAGTAGCCTACATTTGAGTGAACCTCAAAGGTGGACACCCAGACTAGGTTTCCTCTTAACAGGGGAGACTTGAACTGGAAGGGCACAGTTAAAGGAAAGGTCCTCCCTTTCAAGATGGAGGTGAGAGAGATTTTCCTGTGTGCATTGTTAGCATATGCAATTATCTTCAGAACCTTGTATGCTTCAACTAGATTGACTCTCATTCTT